TTTGTATCTAGAGGTTTTGTCCTTGGTCATCAGTGGAGGATGACGTGGTTGTGTTGAATTGTTGTGTATGCATTATACCATTGTCAATGGAACATCGTATGTGATGAATTGTTGAGATACATTATATAAGTATGCTTGCTCGGGAAGAGGTAGTTATGTGTCTATATACTTTAACACATTGTTTGTATCTGGATGGTTTATGTATATATGTTATACATGTTAGTTGTGCCTTGTTGCATTTGATTGGTGGTGTTATACCCTGCGCTAATAATCAGAGGTACCATACCCTTCCAGCTAGCGCCTGGAGAACTGTCTGCGCTAATAATCGAAGGTACCATACCCCTCCAGCTAGCGCCTGGTAAACTGGCTTGTTGTTGTAAAAGGTGTATCTTTGGCTTACTACGCGCAAAGCTAGTAGAGCAAAGTTTGGTTGTTGTTGTAGTTTCAATGTATCTGAGAACATCATGATTTGTGTTGGTTACAGTCTTGGAGGGCCGAGTTGCCTCATTGGTTTATCTTGTGCATGTATAGTTATAATTGAATTGGGAATGAACCAAAATGCCTTTTGTCTTTTGGTAACGTGAAAGAGACCGAACACTTTAGAAACTTGTTTTGAAAAGGCACATCTATAGTATGTGTGGAAAATGGAAGAGGGTAGTGGGTTTAGTGAATTTAATCCCTAAGGAATTGATAATGTTATGAAAGATTGGGAACGAGGTTTAATGAAAGGAAAAGAAAGATGAATCACTTATAGTATTGAATGAAATGGTTGTTTACGAGAAAAGTTCATACATATATATTTATATTTTATATAAACTGTCACATTACTATTTTAGTATGAGATTGAGCATTCATGATCATTGCTATCTGTATGTTGTTATTGTTGAGGGCCATGTTGAGATCCCTACTGGACTATATGTTCATCCCACGTTGTTGAATCTTTTTCAGGTGTTTAGCGAGATGTACTACAAGATTTGGATCTTCTTATTTGTTGGTCACGGGGCCTCTTGTTGTAGGCGGAACGCCATATATGTATAAAGGGTTGCACCCTTCATTTGATTATTCAATGTTGTAAGCCCAAGGGCAATTTATTAAGTATGTTCATGTAATATTTACTTTGCATACGAATGAGAGTATTGTTAATCACTTCTACAGATTAAATGTATGAGTTTATTTCCGCATGTTATCCTTGAAATTGAATTAAGTTAATGAACTTGGTAATGACTTCGAGTAATAAAAAGTGGGGCGTGACAACTTGGTATCAGAGCGAGCCGGGTTTGAATACTTTAGGCTCGTGGGAAGTGGTTTTTACCACAGTGGGTTTACTACGTATTGTGAGGACGTTGCATATAGATATCATGAAAGTTAGGACTTATGTGTTGCATTTATGTGAGCATGGGATTCAGTCTCCTGGATAATATTCATAGCCGGTGAACTTGCTTTGAGGTCCTTTTGGAAACACGCCTGATCAACGTGGTTTCTGATGGGAATTCCTTGAGAGTTCCGGGATGAGTGGCTATCTTTGTGGACTTGATTTGATTATGTGTTTATCTGTCTAAATGACTGTATGCAATAGAGACGTAAATTTTGAGACTAAGTGTGTCTTGTAACTTAACGGTAGTGGAGTGTGCCTCGGAGAAGGCTATTGTGTTTTGCGCTAAGTGTGTTTTGCCTTCATGTTTAATAGGATGTCTACAAGAGGGAGTAGAGGTCGGATGAGTAGTAGGAGCGCTGGGAGAGGCACAACAGTTCCTTTAGTACCTGCCGTTGCAGCATCGGCTGTCGGCGAGGACTTCGCACGTGAGATTGTGAGAGCAGTGCAGGACGCCCTAGCTCGCACTGAGGGCGGCAGCGGGCATGCTCTCAAACTTACTAAGGAGTTCTTTCGCTCCAGTCCACCAGAGTTTGTGGGGGAGGCTAAACCGTTGGAGGCAGAAAGTTGGCTAGAACAGATTACCAAGACTCTTGATATGCTCAAAGTCAAAGATGAGGAGTCGAGGGTTTCTTTGGCGACTTTTCAGTTGAAGAGTGATGCGAGTTATTGGTGGAAGTATGCTAAGAATAATGTGGGTAGCACGTGGGTTGCTTTTACCGAGGCCCTTTTGGCCAAGTATTTCCCTCCTTCTGCTCAGGAAAGGTTGAGGGATCAGTTTTTGGAGTTGTGTCAGGAGGATACTCCTGTGGCACAGTTTGAGATGCGGTTTACTAGTTTGTCGAGGTTTGCTCCAGAGTTGGTGGCAACAGAGGAGCGTCGTTGTTTTGAGTTTGAAAGGCGATTGTGTTTCGACATTCGGGAGAAGGTAGCTGGATCTTTTTGGAAGAATTATTATAATTTAGTCGAGGCAGCAGCCCATGTGGAGGCCATGGTGGTAAGTGATGATCGGGATAGGGAAGGGACCATCTCGGTAGGTCCTACAAATTCTAAGCACTCTAGGCTCAGTAAGGGGTGGAGGTGGAAACATGCTCAGTTAAGGGCTAATTCCTTTCCTTCGCCAGGGGTTTCGGACTCTGCTGTTGGGGGTTCCGGGGAGATGCAGGTTTTAGACCAGTCTCAGAGTAAGGGGTCTGGTGGTTGTTTTGTTTGTGGCCAACTGGGCCATGGTAGACGTCTTTGTCCTTTGCATGTAAATTCTTCGGGTGTTTCAAAACCCAGTCAGACTCAGTTGTACCCGTCCAGTCAAGGGCGTTATCGGTACCAGAAATGGGCAGGCCAGGCTTCGAGGGCCTCGCGAGGGGCGACTTATTAGTTAGTCCTATGGTATTACCCTGGAGGGGATTTTTGTGTTATTGACCGGTGTACTGTTGGATGCTGAGGCACCATATTTATGTATCGCTTATGTATGCATATTGTTGTTTGTTTAACCCTCATGTATTGGGGAGTGTGTATGGAATTTCGAAACCCCCATAATATCTATTGAGAAGTTGTTAAAGGGATCAATGATCCTGATGTTGTTGCTTGCTTGGCACCTATATGTTGATTTGTGTTTTGGGCTTTGCTAGTTAAGAGGTCTGTGGTGACCCCATCTATTGTATAAGGGTAGTGTTTGTATTGAGATTGGTTATCACTTGTGGGGTATGGTTTGTGAGTGGATGCTGGCAGCATTCTTAAGAGGAAGAACAGGTCGTGTTCTAGGGTGGCGAGATTAGCGTCGGTCAAGTTGTCCTTCGTGATTGGGTTGTTGTAATTGAGCTTTACCAAGTCGGTTTTCGGTCGAGGAGAAGAGCAGGCTTGCTATGTAGCCATGGAGGGGAGGTAGTAATTCCCTTAAGCACAGTGTTGATGTGGTTTGATTTTAGGAGATCCGTTGAGATTCCAATTTTGGGGGTTTGTGTGGAGAACTCCGTGTTTGGGGTTAGTGGCACTTCAGTGTGTGGTTTACTGTGAGTGGTGGTTTGTTGAGTTGATTAGTCAGCTTTTGGTATGGGGTTTTGGGTTGACATTTGTCACCGTGAGGTTAGTCTCATTCATTGTAGACTTTGTATGTTGATTAGGGAAAACTGAAACTAATCATCCGATTGTGTCATTGAATATGACGGTTATAATAATACAGCAAATTTGTGCATTGATTGATCATTGTGAATGATTGGATTTTTTTTATATACATTATATATGTATATTGTTTGGGAGGAGATAGGGGATGGACTCCGATGATACAGCACCAAAATGTGTATCTGTTGAAAGATTGATATAGCTCATATGCTTATCTATGGTGAAGTGAAAAAAATGTTTTATATGAGTTACTATCTCATTTAAATTGTTGGCTAAGTTCTGAACCATATTTATGATTTTAAATTGGTTAAGTAAAGGGAGGCGAAATGAAATTGCAAAACCATGAATTTCTTATGCCTTATGTGTTGATAGTACTGTTGTTATTTCTATTAACTATCATTATAGAAATGTTATGTTCCGTGTTGGTTGTGGCATCACTGTGTGAGTGATGGTTGTTGATGGTGTTATTTTGAAAAGAATGGAAAACAAAATTTTCCTAGTGTTTGGGACATCGAAATGCGTTGTTGAGAAATTGATTTAATTCAAGGGTGTTGAGGAATTCCAAATGAATGATTTTTGGCAAATAAACTGTGGATGGTTATGTGCTTTGGATAACACCGTATTTGTGAAAAATGTTTACAAAACTTTTGAGTTTTGCGTTGAAAATGCAAGGTTTATTTTGAAATGTTTCATGAGCAAGAAAATGTTTTCCTTATATTAATGTAATAGAGTTGCCTTGATTATCCTTTTATTGGAAATTATGGTTGTTATGTAGTGACTTAGCTTGAAGTGCTGGTCAGATGTGAGTAAACTGTTTCAGAAGGGTTGATTTTTATTGTGGCTTTTATGCCTACGGTGTTGTCATTTGGAACGTGTTCCCTTGGTTAGTCTCTTCCTTGGTAAGAGTGAATCGAAAGTTTGTAGGGAGAATCGTTTCTTTCCTAGTACTCGGGTGTTGGTTGCTGTGTGATCTGTTGGCCATGTGCTTTAGGCGTGTTCTAAATTTCGGGGACGAAATTCTTTAAGGGGGGGAGGTTATAGTGATCCCGGTATTCCCTGTTATTGTTTAACTGTAATCCGGACTCGGTTCCGTAGATTCGTTGTTGTCTTATCCTCATTTCTATCCCTTACTCCTTGTGTTAGAGTTTTGGGTTGAGTGGGGCAAGTTAGGAATAAGTTGACTGTGTTTTAAAACTTAGAGTTTTGCCTCGGTTTTGGTCTCTACGCTCGAGCGGCGATTTGACGCTCGAGCGGGTTTTTGTTGTTGCCTTTCCGCTCGAGCGGCAGTTTGGACGCTCGAGCGTGAACCTGTGTCTGACGCTCGAGCGGGGTGTTGTACGCTCGAGCGGACCTGTTTTTATATCAGTCCGTGAAATCACTTTTTTGATCACTTTTTGATTTCTTTCTCTCTCTTACTTTTTCAAAACCTCCATTGGAGAGCACCTCACTCTAAAACCTAACTTCTCTCTTAGGATTGATCTAGCTAGAGTGTTTTCCCATTGTTTTCAGTAAGTAGGAGACCTAACAGCATTTACATAGACCTCGAATCCCACAAGTTTCTCTTTTTTATAGTGTATGACTAAAATGCGTCATCATGAAATATTCCATTCGTGAACATTACTCACAAGACAACTGCAGAGAAGAAACATCTTTTCCCGACAGCTTTCATGTTGGTCAGCTCCCAACCACAACCCTCTTTATAACATTCAATCTGTCATATCACCAAAAATTATGAGAATTAAAAATAAAAAATGCACATAGCCGAGACTCCAAATTATAGACGCATCAAATATTATAGAAATACAATATGGTTATTATGTACCGTGCTCAATATCTCACTACCATCCATCACCCCACCGATGACATAGATTTTCTCTCCAATAACGACAGCTCCAGAATATCCCCTAGGATCATTCATGGGTTCACCCATCATCCATGAACCAAGACGGGGATCAAATATCTCAATAGTTGAGACCATATTAGAACCATTGAAACCACCCAAAGCATATCTGCATTGAAATTTTTCCATACAATGTCTTTTTTATTAGCTGTACTGTGGTAATATGAACAGTACTTAAAAAGTTCTAGGCATCCATTATCATGCAAGTGCAAGTAGTGGTTTTCCATACTTTCCATGTGAAGATCAAAAAATATCTAGCCAAGGTAAACCAATCCAAGAAATTATTAGTAAATAAACAAGGTTTGAGATATCCCCATATAATGATCTATTACAAACAAAACTGTAAGGTGTTGTTTGGTAACGTTTACAATTTTTATTCACAGAAAATATTAAACATGCTTATGTTTAATTTTTGTTAAAAAGCAAAACGAAAATATGTTTGGTATACATTTTAAAATTTTGTTTTCAAAATAATTGAAGTCGTTGTCTGCGGGAAGTGGTGCCTGAAACTGGTTGTCAACAATTAGAGATGAAGGCCAGAGATGGTTATCAATAGCGGAAGGTGTCAAGTAGTAGTAGAGGAGGTGGTGGTTGCCGAGGTTGGTGATTGAAGGTGGTTGCCGCCAGTGGCAAGTGGTAAGGCAGCAATCGGAAGATATTGCTGACAACAGTGGCCGGAGGTTGGTGTGATTGGATGTGGTAGTTACTGGGGGTGATGAGTGGCGGGTGATGCTAGAGAGGATGGGAACAGGAAGAAGGAATGAAAAATCATTTTCTAAACAAGTAAAACCAACTTTTTTGTGGTTAAACAAGTGAGTGTTTGTTTACGATTTTCAAATTTTTGTTAATATAAACAGAAAATTGTAAACATAAATGTTCTTGAGGATCAACTTACAATTTTTCATTCAACATGGTCAAAGAATGGCATCCCCTCCTTGTGTTCATACTTCCTATCCTCCTCCATGAGTGTTCTCGAGGATCAAACCTTTCAATGGAACTGAGATGATAGGAAAAGAAAATTTTAATAGAAGAACATATGTTCAACAAACAGGAGGGTACATCCAAAACCACTAGTATTTATCTAGTATTCATCTAACACATTCTTCAATGCCATTATGTTAGGCTCCATTTGTATTTATGGATTTGAAATGCATGGATTTGGCATTATTTATTCATGGAGAAAGCAAGAACTACCTCAAATTTAGATTCGACAGTTTACCTAAGTATTTGAATATTATATTAAAGACCTTTATCACAGGCATTTGAAATACCTATGCAAAAGTAGTTATTTAAAATACTTCCAAACAAAGCCTTAAGCTCATATAAGGAAGACGGGAAGTGTAAGCAAACTTCATGGACGAATACACATATCGAATAGACCTGAGTACCCTTTATATTTGGAAGCAAAAGGATGAATACACATCTTATAGACCTGAGCATCCTTTATATTTGGAAGCAAAGGAGATTATTATACAAAGAGACCTGTAATTTTTGGTGCCAGCATGAGATTAGAGATGAACATTGTTTTCCTCCCTAAACTCCTTAATCGTGGCAGTTAGGACACTTTAACAACAAATTGGCATCTTACCACATAAATCAGACACATGAAAAAATATAATTGACATAATATACAATATTACCCACAAAAAAAAAAGCATATAAAAATAAAAAATAAAAATATAAACAGCAATAATTTGCTAACTGATGCAGACAAAATTCTAATAATTATATATTTTATTTTATTTTATTTTTATTATTATGGAATTAATATTTGATTAGGAATATTCTAATTTAGTATAAAACTATTTAGTTTACTGATTTGAGATTATTTAGTTTTCCTATTTTATTAGTTTCTTGTTTTACTATAATTAGATTAGATCTATAAATAACGGTTGTACGCCTAAGGGCAACACAAGTTTGTATGTTTTGTTTTAGTTTTCTGAAAATTGGGTTTTTTGTTTTTCGTGTTTTTTTGTTTTTAGTAAATATTTTTAAAATTTTAAGTATTTTTTTTACTTTTTTTCATGCACCTTATTTAGATGTATCTAAAAAATAAAATGTTTGTGAAAAAATATTTTTAAAAATTAATAAATACACAAAAATACAAAAAAAAAATACTGAAATTTCATTTTTTTTGTATTTTTTGTATTTAGTGAATTTTTTAAAGTTTTTTTCACAAAAATTATACTTTTTAAGTGTATTTATTTTAGGTGTGTCTAAAAAAAAAAAAAAATTGCTTGAAATATTAAAAAAATTCAGTAAAACTAAAAAGGCATGAAAAATAAAAAATAAAAAACTCAATTTTTTGTGAGTTAAACCAAAGAAGATGATTGTTATTTCTCTTGAAATGACATGAATAAAATATCAATATTATTTTATGATTTTGTATGTATAAAGGCTAAGGGGCAAACATGTCATTTTAATCTGATAGGGGATAAGTGTAATTTTTCAAATGTGAGGGGGATCTATATTAAATAAAAACCTCGGGGGTGTCAATGTAATTTAGCCTATCCCATTTCTATAATAAAATATTACTGCATACAACCATATCTAGACCTAGCCTTTGCAACAGATTCATATATGTTTAGCATGCACTAAAAAAGTGCACTTTTTTTTTTTTTTGGTGCATACATACACTTATTTTGGTCACAGCAATCTACATCCATCAACATCTCTCTATTTTTCTACCAACTTTCTCTACTTTTCTACAGATTTTTTTTATTATATAAAAAGTCAAAAAGTGCCTTTATTTAGAATATTCCAAACCACCCCGCAATGCATCAATGTATGTAAATAAACTGACACTACACAAACCCACATTCAATTTATAAAAAAACACACAAACACAAGCATCATCTACAAATTATGCCTCAAATCAAGTACTACAAAACTAAAAAATGGAGACATAAGTTTGCATTAAGCCAAATTCTGGGACAAGAAATTTAAAATTGTGATAGAGAATTAACCTCCAAGTTCAATAAATTAATGAAGACACATAAATTTAAGAAATTTAAATGTTGAATGTTGAGACTTAAAAAAAGGCAGCAATGGTAGATAAACTTTCAAATAATTTGGAAGGAAAAAAACTTCGACAAAGCTGTTGTGACTATTTGGTAGAGTCTATTTTTAGCTTAAATCCACTTATAGTTTAAAATAAGTGATTTTGGAGTGTTTGATATAGCTTTTCAGAGATGGATTATATCTTATTTTAAGTGATTTTCAACTTAAATCTCTAACTTGGTTAAGAGGTGCTTACAAACTCAGCTTATGCGGATAGTTGAGTTTTGAGGGATGTAGTGACTTAAATGCCCCTCATATGCTTCAAATATTACCCAAAAACCAATACATAAATCCACAACCAAACTCTGTTCACTTCCTTAGAGAGAGAGAGAGAGAGAGAGAGAGAGAGAGAGAGAGAGCGTGAGAGACAATTTTCGGTGGTGATAGGCGATTTTCGGTGGCCTAAACTAGAGCTCTCTCTCTCTCTCTCTCTCTCTCTCTCTCTCTCTTTCTCTCTCTCTCTCTCTCTGAAACCATATCACTACCTGAATGGTGACGATGATGATGACGATTGATGACGTGACGATCTAATGAGTTCTTTCTCTTTTCGCGATCGCGATAGAGAACGAGCTTGAGCTTTCTCTTTCTCTCTCTCTCTCTCTCTCTCTCTCTCTCACGATCTACAACCGCACTACAAGAAATTACACTTTTGGCGACTACTTTTGGCGACGACGTCAATTTTTCATCGCCAAAAGTATATTTTTGGCGACACAGTGATCGATTTCGTTGGTAAAAGTATACCTTTACCGACGCAATTTGTTGCCGTCGCTAAAAAGGCATAACACTATTTTAGCGCCAAATTTTTTGGTTGGCGCCAAAATTTCAAAACTTTTACCTACGAGGCTTATGTTTTAGCAACACAATGAGCGTTGCTCTTAGTGTGCTTACTTTTGGCAACGACAAGTTGGCGTGGGCAAAGAGTTAACCATTTAGCGACGATGACACTATTCGTCGGTAAAAGTTTTGCTAGTGGAATGATGTGATTTAGTGATTTGTGTTTTTGATTATAATTTTTGAAAGAGTTTTAAATATTTTAGTTACTGAATTGTAAAATTAAAATGATCATTGAATTAGATCACAAAATGAACCCACTGAGCGCAAACACACTCTTAAGTTGAGATGACTAATTTGAGATAATTTAAACTTTTTCAAAGAATATGGTTAGATTATCAATTTCAATATGTTTGTTTTTATTTTCAAAAACTAGTTTCAAATTTTTTTTCTCCTAAAAAACTAAAAAAAGAATTGGGTGAAAAAAAAAAGTTAATAATTTTTATATATTTTTATCTTTTAGGTCATAAATACTTTTTAAAATTTGAAAAATATAATTTTGATTTTTATTGCTTTCAAATTATTTTTAATTTTTTCAAAAAAAACAAATCTAAATTTTTTTTAATCTTTTAGGTTATAAATACTTTTTAAAATTTTAAAAATATAATTTTGATTTTTATTGCTCTGAAATTATTTTTAATTTTTTTAAAAAAAAACAAATCTAAAAATTGTTTAGAATATTTTATTTTATTTATTTTTTTGGGGTAGAGCAGGTGTTGATCGAAGGTGGCATTTCCCTCTTAAAATTCCCTCCTTTTTTTTTCCTCATCAAATCTCCCCAAATCAATCTCCACGATTTCACTCTTGCGCATCCTTATCTCAGAATTCGTAGTTCTCTCTCCCTCACGATTTCACTCTTGATCGTAGGGTTTGTGCTGTTTGCTGCTGCCGTGCGAGATCGGTGCTTCAGTCTGCCTTTACAGGTTTGTTCCCCTTTGCTTTGTATCTCAATGCCCCTGCTTCTCTCTCTCAATTTCTTAAATGAATCTATGCTTGTCTATTTTCACTATTACGAGTTTCGGGAGTCTGACCTCTAGAGCATATATTAACCATCCATTTAGTCAAGTTATGTTAACACCAATTGCAAATGCAGTACCTATAGACTATTGATCCTTCGCATGCATTCCTGGTTCAATTCCTTATGGGTAATTTTACTAAATTTTCTAGTCTGTAATATGTCTAATTGCTTAGTTATTTATTTATTTATTGGTTAATTGGGTAAGTTTATGTTAAATTTGATTAAATTTTAGTTGTGTATTACTATTGTGAACCATCAGCGAAGAGAAATGGAAAAAGAGGGACCCATTTATTGGAATTATGTAGAGTTTTTGGTTCAAACAAGGCCAATTTGCTTATGTCATTTCTACTCTCTAGAATTTGGTTTTGTTTTTGTTTTTGTTTTTGTCTTTTCATTTTCTGAATTGTTTTATCTTTAAGATTATATATATTGATCTCAGTTTATGTGTTAAGTAATTAACAACTATGATTTGTTGGTATGAAAATGCTATAATTGGGGAAATATTATATATATATCCACACTTGAGTTTATACTATATATACTATGGTGGGACACTCTTCACCTTATTGTACCTTTTTCCCTCTAAACAGTTCCCACTCTTTTGGTGTCAGTTATCTTCAGGTAATAATTTCTCTCATATTGCCTAATGGTATCATTTTTAAGAGTTATTACTAACATCACTTCCATACCCTTGGTGAGGGACTATGTTACATGGGCTTGAGTATGATGAGGAAACTTCTTACGTTTGTTGATGTTGATTGCAAAGTCATGTTGAATTTTCAATACAAGGTAGGCTTTTTAAAAAAATTACAAATAAGTGGTAAACTTTACAAGTATATTAATAATTAAAGACAAAAGTTTTTCATCAATCTGTAATAATTTTTTGACAGTTCCACTGATTAGTAATTTCCCCTTCAATTTTCCCCTTCTTTCTAGAAGACCTTCAAAAAATGTGCCCGTGAAGTGGAGGAACTTAAGTGATTTAAAAGGAAATATAGTAGATAAGTTTTGCATACTATACAACCTTTACATGGTTGGAGCATGAATCTCAATATCTGTACATATTTCATAATTATACACCATGGGTCACTTCCTTTTCTCAATCCACAAAAAATTCCTCAAACCCAAATTAAGTGCAACTCGAGGAGTAGCATAAGAACTAACCCACCTTAACCCCAGCCTGCTATGTGGCTCCACTAGCACATATCTGCCTGATGACCCTCGCCTACTGCCCCACGCCTTCTTCAACTAGATTGAATGTCTTCTATCATATTTGAGACTTTTTGATGTGCTCCTCACCATCTCATCTCATTTCAAGTGAAACACTTTCTTGAATTTCAAAAAAATGATGTTCGGTACAAATAGCACTAATCTCATGCATTCTCTACACCACCCATACTTTAAGAACAAAAATGAAAAAGTTGAATTATAAAAGAAAAAAAAAACTTTTAACATTTGGAAAAAATCTAGATGACCCATTTAATGTGTTTAAGTGATGAACACATGTGTCTTTCAAGTGTTTGAAGTGTGTTTGAGTGTGATTTAAAATAAAAGACATGTTTGGATGCAGGTGCAACATGTGTCAGGAAATGTTTGATGGGTGTCAGTGTTCGACACGACCACACCACCTTCTTAGAAGTGTTCGTGTTTATTAGCACAAGCATATTATGTAATTTTGTTCTTGTGAAGAATTAAGAAAGATAAATTAGATACATAATTTACCTTTGAGTTTTTTTTCTCTTCTTTACTTTTTGGGTTACCTACTTTGTGTAGTTCCTTAGTTTATTTCAGTTAAGATATTGTTGTAACAAAGGGGAATAGTACCGGTTGTGTCCTATTGGTATTAACTACTATCTTATGATCAGATATGGACATGAGTTGGATGTTAATTTCTGATAGATTTAGTCAGCCATATGTAGATGGGGTGAACTCATTTATTGAATTTGCAAAGGTTCATTTGGGTGAGGCTAGGGAGATTAAGTGCCCATGCATCAATTGTTGTAACTTTTATAAGCAGGAGTATGATATTGTGAAGGCTCATTTGCTCATAAGTGGGATGATAGTATCATACACCACATGGTTAGAACACGGTGAACTTCCAGAAAACAATAACCTTGATGAAAGCAATGGGGAGAATGATGAGGATAAAGAAGAATATGATGAACTGATAGAAGACTATCAAAGGGGGAATTTTATGGAGGGTGATACTCTAGAAAGAGAGGATGTACGACACTTTGATAAATTGTTAGATGCTTCCCAATGTTGCTTGTACCCAGGTTGCAAAAACTCAGATATTTGTTATCATTCGTTATTCAGATGCTACATGTGAAGGTAGAAAATCGGTGGAGCAATAAGTCTTTTGACAAGGTTTTGGAGATACAAAGGCGATTCCTACCAGAAGGCCACGTGGTGCCAGGGTCAATTTACGAGTGCAAGAAGTTACCACGTGACTTGGGCTTGGGGTACGAGCTCATCGATGCATGTAAACATGATTGTGTACTATTCTGGAAGGAGAATGCTCACTTGGAAAAATGTCCCACATGTCAAGCATCTAGGTATAGAGTAAATGATAGCAAGGGTAAGAAGATCCCTCACAAGATATTGCATTACTTCCCATTGACACCTAGGTTGAGAAGATTGTACATGTCTAGAAAGACGGCAAAAGACATGAGATGGCATAGTGATAAGCGTGTGGATGATGGTGTAGGGAGGCATCCGGCTGATTGTAAAGAGTGGAAGGAATTTGATTTGCATTATCCAGAGTTTTCCCAGGAGACTCGCAATGTTAGGTTGGGCCTAGCCACCGATGGGTTCAATCCTTTTGGGAACATGAGCACTTCCTATAGTATGTGGCCTGTCATACTCATGCCCTATAACCTCCCACCTTGGAGATGTATGAAGGCCCCATTTTTCATGATGTCCTTACTTATTCCTGGACGTAATCAACCAGGGACTAATATTGATGTCTACCTAAGGCCATTGATTGATGAGTTGAAGGAGTTGTGGGAGAATGGTGTGATGGCTTACGATGCCTCTATTGAACAGACCTTCCGGATGCATGCAGCTATAATGTGGACCATAAATGACTTCCCTGCATATGGTGACTTATCTGGATGGAGAACTAAAGGTTATTTGTCTTGCCCTCCTTGTAATGATAATCTGTTGTCACGCGGGTTGATCAGTAAGATTGGGTGGGTGGGTCATCAAGCTTACTTGCCTGATAACCACCTTTGGTGGAAAGACAAGAAGTTTGATGGTTTAATTGAGTTTAGAAAGAAATCCTTGGATTTATCGGTGGAAAAAGTAATGGCTCAATTGGATCAATTGCGGGAAGTCAAGTTTGGAAAGGATCCTACCAACAAGAAAAGATCACGAGAGTTTGAAGAATTGAATTGGACAAAGAAAAGTATAATGTGGGAGCTACTGTATTGGAAGAAATTAAACCTTCGACACAATCTTGATGTCATGCACATTGAGAAGAATATTTGTGAAAACTTTTACGGGACGATGTTGGCCATAGATGGGAAAAACAAGGACACGTACAAAGCACGTGATGATTTGCAAGAAATAGGCATAAGACAAGAATTGCATCTACAGAGGAAAGATAACGGATCCGTTGTAAAGCCTCGGGCAACCTACACATTGGATTCTCGACAAATAGATGGTTTTTGTGAATTCTTGAAGTCTATTAGTTATCCAGATGGCTATGCAGCAAACATCTCAAGATGTGTGACTTCTAAAAATGGAAGATTATCGGGCATGAAAAGCCATGATTGTCATGTCCTACTTCAGAGACTTCTACCAATTTGGCATGCGTGGTTTTGTGAACAAGGAGATCTATACAACACTATTTGAGTTGGGCAACTTCTACCAAGAACTATGCTCAAAAACAATAAGGCAAACTGATTTGGAAAAAATGGAGGAACGAATTATGCTCATACTATGCAAGTTGGAGAAAATTTTTCCTCTAGCTTTCTTTGATGTGATGGTCCATTTGGCTGTTCACTTGCCCCGTGAGGCCATGTTTGCTAGACCGGTGCAATATCGATGGATGTACCCGATCGAAAGGTAATCATTATGAACATATGGTTATTTATTAATTTGTTATAACTAAAATATTGTGCAAAAATCCACCCATAAAAGACTATTGTTAAAATATTAATTTGTTATAACTAAAATATTGTGCAAGAAGCATAATTTTCATTATGAATTTTTGTTGAAGGTTTCTCGGGACTTTGAAAGGGTATGTCAGTAATAGAGCACGTCCAGAAGGTTCTATCGTTGAGGCTTACATTGTCAAAGAGTGTCTTACTTTTTGTTTAATGTACTTAAAAGGGATTGATAAACCTGAACGAAATGATGATGGTGGTGAACATGGTCCCGGGATGGAGGTCTTCACCCAAAATGCTCGTCTATTCTCACCTATCACAAGGGCCCTTGACCCTTCGCAAAATGAACGAGAAATGGCTCATTGGTTTGTGTTGTACAATAGCTCTGAGGTGGAGCCATATATTGAGTATGTATTTAAATTTGATTATGTTTATGCATAATCGTTCCATTTTGTTTCGAACTCTCTAAGTTAATTACGTGTATAACATTTCCTTGGGTAGGGAGCAGAAGAATATTTTACATAATCTACAAGGACGGGACATTACTCGGGTACAACGAGAAGAATTTCCAAAATGTTCAAAAATCGTGTAAGATATACTAAAGAAAATAACTTAATACAATTGTTGAAACTTTCAATTCACATTAACTTAGTACACTTGTTATATGGTGTTTTATGTAGATGAATGATTTGCGAACGAAAGGGTCACCTGAAGCAACTGACGAATTGTGGTCATTAGCAAATGGTCCTAGATCGGTAATTGACTTTTATTCTGGGTGGGTGCATCTACAACGGAATTCGATTCCATACTAGAAACTGTGAAAATCGTCGTGCCTGTCAAAATAGTGGGTTGGTCGTAGAAGGGGACCATAATGGGAACCAAATTAATTTTTATGGCTACTTATGCAAAATATGGGAATTGAAATACTTGCATGGGGGTACAATGGTTTTGTTCCAATGTGAATGGTATGACACCGGTCACAAGAATAGAATATACTCCGATGAACATGTCACAAGTATTGATGTTACAAGACTTTGGTATAAAGATGACCAATTTGTTCTACCTAGTCAGGTAAGACAAGTATTCTATGTCAATGATACCAACAAAGGCAAAAATTGGAGAGTCGTTGAACGTGTTAAGCATTGGGGAGTATGGGATATACCAGAGCGAGATGATGTCTCTAATGATGCTTTTCAACACGATGAAACCACTGATGGTATTGGGGTAGTGATCCAAGATAATGATGTTCAATACAACAGGGATGATATGGATCCTGAGATCATGTTCAATGATCAACTAATGGCAGAGAATTTAGTTCACAACGATGACGAGGATGACACAATCATAGAGTATAATGATGATGAAGATGACGAACTGCATAGACAACCTGATGTTGATGCAGATCTTGATATAGATTATGATATGTAGTGTTTGATATGGATCTCTGTGTCAGATTATGATATGTAGTGTTTGATTTTTAATTATATGGACAAGTGTTATAATTTAATAATAAATTGCTTGGTTTACATTGCATGGCATTGTTTTTCAAATTTCATAGCATTGTTTCTTATTTCATTTCATTTAATTATATGTCATATGTACAGTTACAAAGATGTCCAGAAACGGTAAATCATTTCTGAAGCCCAGCGGCATAGTCCAGAAGATGACGAAATATAAGAAGGATAGGAAAAAAACAATCCAGAAAAATAAAATCAGATTTGATGCTCTAGGGATAAAGTCCCTCTCAAGAATTCAATGTTTGGTTCTATTGAAAAGGACAATAGTGAAAGTTGTAGGATGGGAAAGAGAAAGGTGGGTGAAATTGATAATGACGAGGACTATCAACCACTTGATGATGATGAAGGACTGAGTTCTTCAAGTGATAATGGCGAGCCTTTTGATTCTCAAGTGATTGAGGTAACAAATGTGTGTTTAAAAAGTAGATTCTTTATTTTTTTCACTTGTTATATTACTTGTGGTATGTTTAGTTATTTCAAATTTATTTTTTATTAAGCAACCTTAAATTATTGAAAATGTACTAACAATTTTTTTTTATATTATGTCAGGATATTCATATGGGTCCCGGTAAGAAAACAAATAGGTGTGCAACTAGCCTAATAGCTTCACAAACACCTAGGGAAAAGAGAAGTACTGTTGATGAAGATACACTTACTCTTCCGAGACGACCTGTAGCTGTGCAAGTTAATCATTCAGCGAGCACACCTGAGGTCTCAACCCAACCTATCCATCTTCCCGCCTTACATACTAGGCCCGATCAGCTCCCTACCTCCGCCACTCAACCTGACCACCTTTCAAGTCCATGTACTGTGACTAACAGTGGAGGTGAGAAATAAATGACCACTTAAATGAAATGATAATTTCTTATCTCAATATTTATTTAGTGCATTCATGTTTTATGTCGACTAAATTGAATAAAATTTTGGTCATAATAGCATCAATTCTAGTTTTGGGCAAGAAACGTGTATGAGGACCGACCCGAGGAAAGAATGTGGAGAAGATTAGAAAGGAACGTGGTGATCGAATACCCGTTACACTTAACCGTTTGACCAAATCAATAGAAGGGGATTACGCCACACCGCTAGCAGCTGCTCTTGGTCAACAAATTCGAGTTCATGCCCCAGTCTGAAATTATGGATGGCTAGAAATTGCCTTTGGGTTAAGAGAGTCTATTGTTACAAGAGTTGGGGTAATTTGAAATATATGTGTTATATATTTAACATGTTATTTATGTTAATCGCAATGATATATAAAATATATTAAATTTTATTATTTCCAATTGCAGCAAACTTTTGACTTTGGAGACTACAATAATGATGTGGATGTGAGATGTATTATTGATCATAAGTGCCAAACTTTGTACAGTGAATGGAAAAGTAGATTACACACACACTACAAATCCCTTAAAGAAAACAATGTATCTGACCTCAAAAGTCAGATACTATATCCTTGTACAAAGGATGATTGGGAATGGATGATTGACAATTTGTGGGAAACTGATGATTGGAAGGTATTTATAAAAATATTTACTAAAGTAACATCCTCCTGTATATTAATACCTAATTTTTTTTTTAATTTGTAGGTAAAGTCAGAGAATGCGATGAAAGCGAGAGGTTGTGTGAAGTATAATCATACGAGCGGCTCGAGATCATTTGCATCGCGAGCATCTATCATTGTAAGTGTAGATTTACAAATTTGAACATACTAAATTATAAATATATAATTTTTTGATTGACTAGAAAATCTAATGAAATGAAAGGTACAAGGAAGCAAACCGACTATTACGAAACTATTCGAGGACACCCACAAACGTCACCGACATGGGGGAGTGTGGATAAATAACACAGCTGAGGAACATCATGTAACCATAACTATTTCAATTTCAATAATAAATGTTTGCATTTTGATATTATGTTTTAAGCTTATTTATGTTTCATTCATAGGCCATTATGGTTTCAAAGATCGCTGAGCAATCTCAACCTAGTGTCACACATCCATTGTCTGAGGAGCAGATTTCTAGGGAAGTACTTGGGAAGAGGTCGGCCTACTTGAAGGGATACGGGATCCACCAGGACAGTACTTCATCTTCTACACATTTTGAGGCTCCTAACTCCGAGGTGATTGTTCTTCAACAGCAGTTAGTTGACCAGCGACAACAATTAGCTGACCAAGGAAAGCAGTTACTTGACCAAGCTCAAAACATGAGTACAATGCAAACTATCATTCAAATGTTGGCAGCAAAAAATGGGATAGATCTAGCAAACATTCCGGGGTTAGCTCCAAGCACCAATGTCGGGGAGGATGCATCGGGTGTAAGGGAGGATGAAACTTCTCTCGGTTGAAATAGAGGTAAATTTGACACTTTATTAAATTGATTTACTTTATTTAACCAATCCTAACATGTGTCAACAATATAAAATTATATAAACGTTGTATTACAATCCTAGCATTACAACCTTTGTATACAGTAGCTTGATAAAACAATAGCTTCACAACAATTTTCTGATTAATTTTAATTGTATTTGTATATTATTGTTGAAGTTAATGCATTAATAAAATACTCATGTTTTATCCTTTTGTTCACAGGTTGGTGATGGATGTTCGTGGTTCAATAGTGATATATATCGTTTTGCACGTTGGCATTCATTTAATTTTTCTTTGTTTCGTTTTATAGGTTCTTTTGTTGAATGTTTATATACTTTTTGGAATTATTATGTTTGGGATTGTTGGATATAGTTAGACGCATTTTAGGATTCTTATGTTTAGTATTGTTGGATATTTGAATAAAATTTGGGATATTGAAATGCATTTGATATTAATTTGGTTACATTACTAATTGTTATGATGTGTTCAGTTTAGTTTTTATTATTTGTTATATAAAGGTTTTTTTTAGATCTAGTTAAAAATATTTGTGACACAGAATTTCTAGGTTATGACACACTTTCCACTAGAGTAGTAGTTGAGGCTCTCTTGGTGAATGGGAAACCGGTACTACAGGTTTTCGAAGGCATTAAAGACATTTACTTCATCGTCTAACGTGTTACAAATGGCTGAAGCAAAGTCTGCTATAAGGAAACCAGTGTTCAATAAGGTTGATCAGCTGCGACCTGGCACTGGTGGACATAATCTCATTCTGAAAGTTGTTAGTTCGAAGACGGTGTTACAAAAAGGCCGACCAGATGGCCCCTAGGTACCACTGATTTTTTGTAATTTGGCCCATGCTTTAAATTTTAAATGTTTGTCATGCCTATCATACCTGTTGAACATTGATTTTTTTTGGTTGCACCCTTTAGTTTCCTCTCTGATGCGGGTCTTAAACTTAGGGCAAAGTTTCTATTAAGTTTGTTGAGTTTAATTCCTGGCTTTCCTTTTATGCAGTGGACTTGATGAAGCCTAATGGTACTGTAATATTGCGCAATGTTAAAATTGACATGTTCAAAGGGTCAATGAGGCTTGCAATGGACAAGTGGGGTCGTGTAGAGGTGACTGAACCAGCCAGCTTCACCGTTAAAGACGATAATAACCTGTCATTGCTAAAATTGGTATGTTGTTGTGCTGCCTCTCTGGTTTAGCAGTGATGTTTTGGTCTAGTGCATCATGATCTGTTGGGGTTTAACTTGTGATGGGGTTTGTTGCAATTTATTGCTAATGCTGCTATACTGATGGGGTTTGTATGGAGTCTCTCTGCGCTGTTGAAGCCTCTCTTGTTGTTGCTAATGTGTTGCTGCTAATGGGGTTTGCTGCTAATGGGGTTTGTTGTTGTGCTGCTCTTATGCAACTGCACTGCTGGGGTTGCTGATCTGGTGTATTTTGTTGTGAGCTTAACAGTGCGCCAGGTAATGCTGCTATAAATATAATGGATTGCTTTGTTTGTTAATATTTTGCTGCCTTTTGGTTTTTGGACATGTAGACTGTAAGTGTGTTCCTCTCTCTCTCTCTCTCTCTCTCTCTCTCGTGCAGGCTGCATTACATGTGTGGAAGACCATAGTTGCAAATACTCCCAAGACTCTGAAGGAAATAATGCCAGTTTTGATGAATACTTTAATTACTTCTCTTGCATCATCATCCTCTGAAAGGAGACAGGTCTGCTATTCTTCTTGTAGTGTTTTCTAAGCTATGATAGGGTTTTGTACAGTCCCAAATAATAAATTCAGTTGCTCTTGTATTTTCAGGTTGCTGGACGATCACTTGGTGAGCTTGTTAGAAAGCTTGGCGAAAGAGTTCTACCTTTAATCATTCCAATTTTATCACGAGGGCTAAAAGACCCTAATGCTAGCAGAAGACAAGTGAGGCTTTTGACCTTTAAATTCTACTTTGTGGATCTTATTTTCTTGTTTGCACTGGGCTTGATGAGAATCTCTGAAGACATGGCTAACAAATAGGTTGCTCTTGTTTTGGCAACATTTGGTTGACTTATTGCAGAAAAAATATATGTTGGCAACATTTTCCTTTTTTCTTTTTTCACTTGTTATTGTTTACATTCTTGGTGTTGTTTTAAATTACTATTTTTATCATGACTATTTATCTTAATTAATAGCGTAGCATAGGCAATGTAAACTGTGGTAGTGATCTAAGAAGCACATACACACTTCTAAGAGGGTGGCATGTCCTTGTTGACACTGATATCTCAGATCTTTCTAGACCCGGAAATGCTTCGGACAATTGGTATACACAAGTGTCCATCACTTAGTGTAACGCCCTCAAAATAATAACATTAAACCCATCAATATAGACATGCATTGATATATAAAAGCTCCACATTCTTCTATTCATCAGAGTTCCATTACCAAAAAGTATTACATGTTAACGACAAAGGCAAATGCCCTAAAGGCTTACAGCTTTCCAAGTTAACACTTGGTTACAACAAAAGAGTGCTAACTCATTTACACATTAAGCCCTTGGCTTGCAAATACATGTAATACATCAAAGAAACTAAACAACAAAAAGTCTGCCCGCCTCTAGCCTCCCAAGCCACGTCCTTGGAGGCGGCATGCTACCTGTACCTGAAAATAATATTCCCATATAGGGTAAGCCACAGCCCAGTAGAAATACACTAAACCAAATATGAACAATGACTAAAAGATTAGCAGTTGATAGATGGCCAACACTGATACTCTCCCTTATCACACTTTACAGTTTCATGACATACAAGTCTATGTTACAATCCATTTTCCAATTCCTTTTAAATTCTCAATTTATAACCATGGCTCAGAACCTAGCCAAACAACTCATATGAGACAATAACTCATATTAAGCACTTTCCCATTTCATCATAGATAAGCATACTAGCTATATCACACGCCAACAGATAAGCATACAAGCTATATCATCACTTCCATAGATATGCATAAGAGCACTATCACACTTCCAAAGACAAGCATATGAGCTCTGTCAACACATTACTAGATAAGCATATGAGCTCTATCTATGGAGTCCATCCCCTATCTTCTCCCAATAACATCCGGTTTAGAGGTCCATCCCTTGTCTTCCCTTAAACCGTGGAGTACATCCCCTATCTCCTCCAACACGACACAATGCATATAAACAATAATTATACACATCATCACACAATACATAAATTTAATGTATTCTTTCAACCGTCATACTCAATGACACATTCCAGTGATTAGTTTCAGTTTGCCTAATCATCATGCATTGTCTACAACAATCAAGACTATCCTCCACCGATAGCCCAAAGCAGTTATTTCTATACAGAAAATAAATGCAACAATGGATATATAATCAACATTTCAACCAGGTGAGTGATAAATAATCCAACTACACCCTTTAATTCCATATCTTTCCAAATCAATTCCTCATTTCTCATAATTGATTATGCAAATCAATTAACCAATGTAATTAGGGCATTTTCCATAATTAACATTACAACCCTTAGGTTCCATTTTCATTAATGTTTTAACATTAATTTCACCTTTCCAAACCAAACATGCATCTAGGTTTTATATAGCTAAAACCCCAACTTTTGTAAATTTACACAAAAGCCCCAAACTTTCACAAAATTACCAAACCAACCCCAATATCTCAAAACACTAAAATTTAAAGACAAAGCCCATAGTGAGGAGTAGGTTATCCCTACCTCGAAAGATGACTCCCAACCGAGAAGGTGAAGAAAACGAAAATGCTCCAAACCATGAATTTCTCGGATCAAAAGATAGCCCTCGACGATCAACAACTCTTTTGTAAAGGCCAAAGGTGAGGAAATCACTCCTACTAGATCAATACCTAGAGAGAAGTCAAGGTTTTAGAGAGAGGAGCTCTCAAAATGGGTTTTAGAAAAAGTAGGAGAGAGAAAGGAAAGTAAAAAGTGATTTAAAATCACCCAGCGGATAACTCATATACGCATGACCCGCTCGAGCGGAAAACACAATGCTCGAGCATCAAAAACAAAAATCTGGACACGCTCGAGTGCAATAAGGCCCGCTCGAGCGCCAAGACACAAGAATAAAGCACATCCGCTCGAGTGCGAAAACCAGTCCGCTTGAGCGTAGATTTCCCCCTTCCAGAACTTATACCCAGAAAGTGCTACCCGCTCGAGCGTCAACAAACCCGCTCGAGCGCTATCGCTCGAGCGTAAAGAAACCCGCTCGAGCGTAAAAATCACACCTGCAGAAGTTTTGCAGGGATACAAAATACTAGAGGTGTGCAATCCCCGCTCGAGCGCAATAAGACCCGCTCGAGCGGACCGCCTAAAAACTGGGCAACAAGGAATTGAAACCAAGGCCTAACCAACCTGTAACAACCTTGCTCAAAACATCCTAAAACTCAATCATGTGGAATTAAAGGACGACAACAAGATGGATACCACTACCAACTTCATGGAACCGAGTCCGGAACACAACAGAAAAGTAAAGGGACAACCGGGATCGCTATAACCTCCCCCCTTAAAGAATTTCGTCCCCGAAATTAAACACAAGTTTTTCAAAAACAGGTTTTCTCCATTCTCAACAATATTACGACATAATATTAAACACTTCGACCCATTACCGGTCAATTCTATCTCTTTTCAAGAGGCATTTCACAACATATAGTACAAGTGCATTATCAACATGCAATTTTCTTCCATTTCCAACCATTTCCAACATACATGGTTCACAGTTCATATCATAATAAATATACATGATACAACTCCAATTCTACAATATAGCCAACATATGCAATATCATAATCAACTCCCATATCAAGGTAAGCTCTACAACATACTTCCATTAAACCCAAAACATTACTAATGTTTTACAACTTAAGACATATATAAAGCTCTTAAGTCCAACAACATTACAAAATTTAAATACAAAATTATTCATCAATAAACAAGTCCGGATATTTCTCGCGGACCTCCAACTCACGTTACCAAGTGGCTTCCTCCACTTCGTGATGTTTTCACAAAACCATTACCAAAGGGATGGTCTTGCCACGCAGGACTTGATCCAGCCTATCCAAGACCCGAACCGGTCTCTCCTCGTACGAGGCATCCTCGTCTACCTCTAAGTCGGTCCAATCTAACACATGCGATGGATCCGGCTCATACTTCCGAAGCATACTCACATGAAACACTTCATGAACTCCGGACAACTGTGGGGGCAACGCTAAACGATAAGCAACCTCGCCAATCCTCTCAAGGGTCTCAAAAGGCCCAATAAATCGAGGGGTTTGATCCAATTCAGGCGATCCAGTCTATACTTGTATGCTGTGCCTATCTCATAGTAATTCTAGGCTAATAAACCGGAATAAGAGCACATAATATTTTCAAAACTCGATATCATGGTTAGTAGAGGCCGATCTTTGATCGAGCGAGCGAGGGTGCTCACGAAGTGACCTTCCTTTAATCGTACCCAAGTTCCCGAGCCAAGGTAACTTTGGTGATGACGAACACGTGGCCTTAGGCACGAGTCAGGGTTTCCTAAATTCTCCCAAAATAAAATATTTAGGTGGCGACTCTGTATCTGGCAAAGCAGTCCATGTTTGGCACTTCTTTCTAAAAATCAGTTTTTCAAAACGATTTGCCAGATTTGGACTCTTTGATGATTCATCGGTCTTGCATTGCACTCTGCGAGATTAGATACAGGATCGTGACATTGAGTCCTGAACTGTAGTGAGCCCAAATGAACAAAACGGGATTCCCTCCCGGGACGTTCGGGGACGTCTACACTGGTAGTCGGCAACCTCTATATCACAACCTCTACACCCATGCTTTAAAATCAACTCACCCTCAGCTGGTGATACAACACAAATAGGAGAAACTAACTGTGCCAACTCCAACCCCGAAATAGATGCAAATGCAGTAGATATAAAGGAATGGGATGCACCCTTATCAATCAACACATTAGCAACCAAGTTACAAAACAAAAGGGTACCTCTCACAACAGATGGAGCTGGTACAAGATCCTGCGCGGTAACAGCATACACGTGCCCTATAGGCCCCTGATCTACCTACTCACCTCTCGGAGCGAAAGAATGCTGCACAGACTGAGACGATGAGGCTCCCTGATTGGCCCTCGAGGCCTGAACTGACTGAGCTGGCTGAAAACTCTACCTCGACCCAGACGCACTAGATGTGCCACCCAGCTACGGGCAAAACCTCTTCAGGTGCCCCGCCTGACCACACTGTTAACAAGAGAGCGGCTGGCCTCTGCCCTGACTCTGGCTCTGAGGACGAGCCGAAGATGAAGCTGCTCTTTGCCCTCCTCCCTTCTGCGGGCAAGCTGGAGACTTATGGCCTAGCTGACCACACTTGTAAAAAGTAAAGTCTCCCCGACTGCCTCTCCTAGAGCCTGCACTCGGCACTGGAAAGGTAAATCTCGCAAATACACCTTGGGACTGCTGAGGGTTAGAACCCCTCTGTCTCCTACCGTCCCTCTGGCCATCCTAACTCCTCTTGGAGCCCCTCATCCTCTCATCCTCCTCCTCATGCATAATAATCTCCATATGGGCCGTAGCATCCACAAGGCGCCCATACTCCCGAGTCATGGACCCCGCAACTCTAGTCTTGAGCCCGTGCCTCAACTTCTTCTCGAATTCAAGACAACGGCGCTCCTCAGACGCCACTAACTCTGGGGCAAACCTCGACAAGCTGGTAAATGCGACCTCAAACTCGGCCACTAGTGTATTCAGCTGCTTGAGCTGACAGAACTGGTCCGTCAACTTCTCCCTAACAGTTGGAGGCAAAAACTTCTCCTGGAAAGCATCTACAAAGGCCTCCCAAGTCCCAACAACACGGCCCCAAACAAACATCCACCATTGACCCGCGTCTCCCTTCAGCTGGAAGGACGCCAAGGTCACCCTTAAGGCTCCGTCTTCGATGCCTAGCATCTCA